AAGCTCTGCCGCCGCTGCTCAGCCACCTTCTGTCTCTCCAAAGCCACCTGCCAGAAGCTCTTCTCCTCCTGCTCAACATGCAAACCAAGGAGCAGCCCAGACCTCCGCTTCCCAGGTCTCTGCACCTCGGAGATACTCCAGCAGCCTTTCCCCCATCCAGGCTCCCAGCCACCCACCACCACAGCCCCCAACACAGGCTACTCCTCCGCTGCAGCCCAAATCTAACAGTCAAGCATCTCCTCCCGCTGCACCCAGCAGTGAGCACGGACCAGAGCAGCCCTGCTACACTCCTCCGCAGACTCCGACACCGCCCGATACACCCCCTCTAGGAAAACACAATAGCAGTTCTCCATCAGCACAGCCACAGCCAGCTGCTCCAGAAACCTCCCAGTCTCCCTCTCTACCTCAGAGTGGTACACTGCCGAGGCCACGGCCAGTACCGAAACCCAGAAACAGACCCAGTGTCCCCCCTCCTCCTCATCCTCCTTCTCAGCTGGCTGGAGATGGTATTATTGCAAATCCCACACAAACAGCTTCCAAAATTGTAACAGGTGAGTGGATTCTTCCATGTTCAGAGCCACCTCAGGGAGCAGAAATGTAGACAATGATGCCTGTAGCTGTAAATCTCAGGGGGAGGGACTGAGAGGCGCAAACAACAGTTAAAGTCCTGTGTTGCTGATTTCCAGTTAAAATGCCCACCACCCATTCTGTGCACAAGGATTTGGGGTGCTTCCTCAGCGAAGGTTTTCATTCCTGAGGCAGAAGGGTCTGGGGGAAGTGTAGATCAGCTTGCTTTATTTTTTGTCCTGCTTTGGAAGCAGAGCACTATTATAGCAACCAACTCTCTAGGGCTTTCTCCAGGCTCAGTATCGTGGCAGGCTCAACTGTGCTTATACATCTGTTGCCAAAAAGCAAATATTTGGAGGAGAGAGAGGATGTAGCCAAGGATACACAAGAATAGCACGTACAGAAGATAAGAAAATGGCTGAAGTGGTCACTGATACATGTTCTAATAGACAAGATACTAACACAGCACATGTTTTACCTTGTGAGGACAAAGTCTTCTCATGTGCTTTAAGCTGGACATCCAGAAGAATCACATACACTGAATTGTGTCTCTTGGGTTAGTTTGTAGATAGATCTTCATATTTTAAATGCAGCCTTCTTTTGGTGAGACATTTGCAAAGAGAAACTTCTACTCACAGGAACTTCATGAAGCTTTTAGTTACTGGTTTGGTAGGGTTAATGTTAATTTAAGTCTTGGTAGGGGGGAAAAATGAAACTGCTGAGGACAGTTAAAAGTAGATCTCATGTTCTGCTGAGTTTCTGCTTATTATAGGAAATTCTAAAGGAAGAGATGATAAATGTAGGAGACTAATGCTTTTTAAATCACCTTACATTTAATAATGGTTTAAACTTTCCAATGGCCCTGCAGCTTCTCTAGACTAGGACTAATGTATTGGAATGCCAAGTATAAATTCTGTTGCCTAACAGCTTTACCCCCTGATGCCTTCACAGGTGGGGCTGGTTACTGCGAATAAGGTTTGTACTTACAGAACCATGCAATACAAGCTCAAATGCCCCTGCACAGCAATACTTTTCTTTGTAGCTTTATTTTGTATATGCGCTTTGAAATATGTGCTGTCAACTCTGTGTTACCTCATTACCACATACCATCTGTTTGGAAGAGATTTTAAGACCTGAGCTGCCTGATTTTAGTAGTCTTGTGAACACTGAGGTAGTCCTTAAGTTGTAAAAGTATCTATAATGAAGGGAGCAACACTTCACACAAGAAGCACTAGTCCACAAGTGAAGCAGTGACCTTTTGAAACAGGTTTATCCTCATAAGTGCAGGCAAATACCAAAGTTAATGAGTTTTCCTCCAATCCAGTGTTTATGATTGCAGTTTAATGTAGCTTTCCCATCAGGTTTTCAGCTATTTTGAACTACTTGGAATTTATTTGGCAAAATACATTCGTGTGACTAAACCCCTTTGCAGAAGAGCACCCGGCAGCATCTGCCTTCTGGCATGTTTGCATCCTGTCAGCTCCAGCCTCACTAATAGCACTAGTCTGCTCAGCCACAGCTGCCAAACAGCACGTTAATAATCTTACTGTTCATTTGCAGTGGGTTAGAGATGCTGCCTTTCTGAGGTAACAGCTGCACGACAGGCTGAAAGAGTTGAGGCCACACTCCTGAGTTATGTCAAGATTTGAGTGCTTGCAGGAAGGACACAAATTAGGATGAGAGTCAAGCTGAAAGTAGTTTAAATTTGGAGAAGCTGGCAGTAAATGAGCTGTTTGAGCAACTAAAAAGCAGGTTTGCCTTTAAAACAGATCTTTTAAGTTCTTTTTGTCAATATCTTTAAAAAGCAGTTTATGGGCAATTTATTTCCCAGCTGAATTCAGAAATAAGGCTGGGGTCTGGCTCTTTACAGCACTTATTTGTAATGGGAACTGTGCTGATGGAGTCAAACGTCAAGGAAGGACTTTTAACCTTAATTGCTAAGTCATGTTTCATAGGTTGACTGTGTCTGGTTTCATTTGGGAATTTATCTGGCTGAGGAAATTGCGTTAATGGCAGCAGATGAGCAGGGTTTGGTTCCCCAGGTGTAACTGGAGAAACAACTGCCTTCAGACCAACACCAGCTGGTGTGCAGGGCGAGTCTGAGTTCCATGGCTAGGGTCTGCCCTGGGGAGTGATGGGCACAACCGAGGCTGTGTCCACAGTTAGGATGTAGCCCTGACTCCCTTTCAGCTGAGTTACAGGTCTGACAGAGGCACACGACTGTGCTGCAGTCTGGGTGAATATAGAAAACTACTTACAACAACAGTGTTAAAGCTGGAGAGACTATCGCTCCTTTGAAGAGCAGCCCGTGGCAAGTTGGCCATGTAAGTTGTGTACAGTAAAACCATAGCAGGAAAGCTGCCACGCGGGCAGACCTGCCCAGGAGTGCTGCTGACGAAGGATTCTCTAGCAAAGCTGATACAGGAGCCTAGGAAATCTAGTATGTTCTGTAAAATAACCCCTTGGGGAGCAGCTGTAGTGATTATCAGGCTTACCTACAGCAGTACATTAGTGCAGGATCAACACTTGTCCAGATGGATCTTTATTTAGAGGATTAATATTTGTTCTGAATTAACACCACTGCATATTACATGAGTATCTGCTCTAACATTTACACGTGCACATACCAGCACTTACTGTAGACTGACTTACCTAATTCACAATGTCAAATAGCTGGGTTTAATTTTAACCTTCAAAAAGACAGGAAAAATGGAAGCCAAAATCACGTTGCCAGAAATACCTGAACAGGAATTCTGCACTGTTTTCAGGATACTGTTCAATTCCTTTGTCCATGTGTTGGACTTTAGTAATGCCTCAAATTCTATTTATGGTGTTATTAAGGCCTAGAGAAGAATATTCTAATCAAACATTTTATTAAATAATCTAGATGTTTGACCTGCATTCAGTAGGAACTGTATTGGAAAATTAAATGGTAAGGAAAAGGCATATGATTGGCCCCAAATGTTGCTAATTCACAATCATCATGTGTGTGCTCATGCTCACTACTAACCCGTCCCCAGTAACACTGCTTGCTTGCATTGTTGTTAGTGTGGCATGCACCAGGAATGGCTGCTTGATGCTCGCTCTTACATTAACGTACTAAAAGTGTTGGAGACTAGAATGTGCACAAGTTGTTAATGTATTCACTGGCCAGTTTCACATTGTATTTATTCCATGTGCAGGAAATCCTATCTAGAAATCCACGTTTATAGAGAGGCTCATTTTGTATTGGATGTAGCTACACTGTTGTATCAAATTCCCTCCCCTGGGTCACCTCACCCTTTTTACATCCTTTTCCGATTCATCCTTCAGTCGTGGTAGGCAGAACTTCAATGCCTGCACATAAAACTGGAGCACACCTTTTGAATGGTGCTCTAAGTGAAAATCAAAGGTAACACCCAGTGCTGTTAAATGCTGGAGAGAACACAGGGCCTCTCCCTCCTATCAGAAGAGGCAAAGGACATGATGTTCCCTGTTACACACAGGAAAGGGGTTTAATTACTTTCTTCTCCTCTTGTGAACAGTGCCTCCTTTTGACACCATACACGTTCCTGTTCCTTCTGAAGGTTTTAGGTGGTGGTTATGTGGCTGAGGATTTAGGTGCCAAATTTATTTGCTCAGGGACCTTTGTGTTTTGATGTGAAAGTCTGGAGGAAGGTATCACTCACAAGGGGCATGGAGGAATCCAGTCCTAAATCTTACTCGCTGCCTTCCATTCTTCAGAATGAACCTTTTATTATGTACCAGACTGAAAAAGGTGTGTAGGAGAAGCAACTCCTGAGCTTTTGAGTTTAGCTTAACCTTTCTGCGTCCCTGTGTGCACACATGTGCCAGCCCTCTGTTTGAAAAGCCTTTGTTGATCTTTCCTTTCCCTTTTCTTCCTAAGGAAATGCCCCAGCAATGCAGCAGTGACGAGACGTCACTGGCCAGACTGCTAAACTTGCTCTTGGTTTTTTGTGCAGACTCCAATCCCAGTACCCAAGAACCACTTCAACCCCCTTCTTCAGAGCCTCTCCCGGAGACAGCGAGCAAAGAGCTGCACAACCACCTCGTGCTTGATATTGACAATGATACAGAAAGCACTGCTCTGTAGTGGAAACTCCCCAGGTTCATGCAGGTTCCTCTCCTGGTGGGAAAACCCAACAGTGAAAAGCTTCTTTTGACGCTGTGGCAGGACTGTGTAGAGCTGGGATGGGGATTTAGCCAGTCAGAAGAAGTTTAATGATCTGTGTCTGAACAATGGTTTTCCGAATCCCGGATGGAAGGAATCAATTACTGCAGAAACGTGCATAGGAAGCGTAATTGCTGCTGATACAGGTGGTGTTGGCAGAGATTCCAGACGCAGCAGAACGTTAGCTATTTAAAGTGCATGTATTATGGAAATAATCTTTTTAATGTCACGGTTAGACTTTTATTTCTAGTTCTTAGCCATTACAAGGAGCTGCCTTGCAAGAGACATTCCCTCACTGATTTGCTGCAGATTCTTTTTAAAACATGAACCAAACGATGCCAGAGTGCTGGTGGCGACCGCGGGTTATCGGTCGCCTGGTCAAAACTGTGGATGTATTTTAGTGCCTTGAAGGACTGTCATACTGTAGAAGGAAACTTACTGTATCTTTAATCATTTCATTGCTACTTAACGATCAGTACTTACTACTTATGTCATAGTTATTTGTATTAACCAAGCCTGCTTTTGTTTGTGAAACTCACAACTGTTTCAGGATGCAACTGTGGAAGTGGGTTTAGTGCTTTCCTTGGAAACGGTTGGATTTGGAAAGACCTTTGAAATGGCTGTTTGGGTTCCTCACTTGGGTGAACATTTATAAAATTAAAGATTGTCTTTTGTCAACTTGAAGGCATCTTTATTCATGTTTGTGAGTAACATCACTTCCAGCGGGCAGGGAAGGTGACAGTGTCACTCCCTGGGCTTTGCAGCTTACCAGGTCTTGTTCTTTTAAGGACTGGCATGGAAACATATTGGGAACTGGGAATGAATGTGCATCTAATCTTTAATGTATAGATTCATGTTAAACAGAAATGAGTCCAGCTGCAGAGGGGAACACTGGATACAGCCTGTATCATGTGGAGAGATAAGACGGAACAGGCCACACCATTTCTGTGAATGAGAGGGAGAGGAAACCAGTCAGTTGAGGTAACATTCATACAACTACTTGAATTAATTTACTTAACCTGTAAATTCCTTAATATTCCATAATACATTTTATTGAAATTATTAATCTAGACCTCAGGCTTCACAACAAAATAAACCTGTGTTTCATGAAGGCTTTGCCAAGACACATTGCTGTTACAGTCACTATCTTCTTGATGCCCCAGTTTAAATCCTGGTGGCTGCCCTGTTATTCTCTTTTCAGATGCCTTGTAAGAGGGAAAATGACCCCTACTACTGGGTGTAGGCCTGCTTTCCTCTGTCACTACACCAGCATGGTAACAAGTTCTTGTAACTCAAAATTCAGTGTTAGGAGCCACAAATTCTAGTTCTGTGACGAAATTTGATGTTTATCTCAAACTGCCCACACGGTACCTGAGTCCAGGGTGGGTTGTGAAGGACCTAAGTAAGTTCTCAGAAACTCTTCTGGACTTATACACTCCTCAGCTTTACACAAGTAGTTAATTGTCTCTGCTGGGATCAGCAGCTCACGTTCAGCAGTGGGTATGCTCTCAGTCACATCCTCGCTGTCATCCTTGGTAACAAACAGCACATTCCATGCAGTTACAATAAGAGCACAGGGCTATGACGCAGTTAAAGCTGAGGATATTTGCCCGAAGCACCAGGGCTGGGGTTACTCCCTGTTCACCAAACACAGCCTGATCCTCTGGCCCTAGGAGTGCCCAGCAGTGGGCAGGGGTAGGGACAATGCTACGTGATGCTGAGTGAGTGACTTTCACTTGGCTGTGTTGGGGTGACTCATTACTTGATCAAATGGCTGCATGATGTAACCCACAGAGGTCTAGAAAGAAACTTGGGTAACATGATGAGGTTCTGTATTGCTTTAACACTGCTGCTCCAGTCTGCTCAGGTGTGTGTGCTCGTAAATGCTGCTTGAAAGATGAGTGGGGCTGCTTGCTTGTGTGGTCTGGGGGGGATTTGGGGGCTAAACTAGGTGGATTCCTTACATCCCAGGTAACTGAAGCTTACCTCAGAGCTCTGAATGGAGGCTGCCAGCTTGAGCCCGAGGGTAAGGCACTCTGCAACCACCTCTGCTGTCGAGTGCGACTGGATGGTCCTTGATGGCCAAGTCATGGGAGCTGTTGCTGCTGCCACTGACCAGTCTGGGAACAGTCTGGTGGGGATGTCATGTGCCACCACTAAAACTTTAATATCCTGGAGTAAAGCACTGCATGGCAAGAGAGTGAATTCCATCCGAAAGTGCAGCAGGGAGTTCTTATCAGCCGGTCAAGTTCCATAAACTAAGCAGGGAGTTGTTTGCATTCCTAGGGCTGTGCTGGGGGATGGTACACGTAGAGCATGGTGCTCCCCTCCCACCCCAGCCACCAGAAACCTTTTTGACTCTACTCCAAGGGTCTGTGCAAGGGTCTGGAGTGGATGTGAGGGGCAGAAGCCAGCAGAAGAGCAGTAGGGATTTAATAACCAAATGCAGGAGCGTGACAGTAGCTTGCTTTAATAGGAATTCCATTCACAGCACAGGAAACGATGCAGCTTTCATAAACCTGGGTTTTGGGGAATTAATACAGGGCCCTAGAGCAACACTCAGGTTAAGCTAAAGCCAAGAATTGGCTGAACTCTGTGGGAGTGGTTCGGTTGCGTTGTGAAAGGGCAAATAGCAGGCTGGAGGGCAGTGACTAACAGTCTAAAGATAATTTCTGGAATTCCAGTGCATAAATCTACAACTGTTTACAAAGCAGGGACCAGAAATGGCACAGTGATTCCCAAGAAAGGAATTTTCCTCTTTTGTGAACCCTACGAAGGCTGTTGATGAAGTCTTCATGTCTCATGGCAGCCCCTCAGCTGTATCAGGAAGGGATGGGAGAACCTCGGCTCTGCTGTGGTCAGGAGGTGTTCAATGGGAGAAGAAAAGCTTGATACGATCGGAGCTGATGTTCAGCTTAACCTTAAGGAAGCATTCTACCAGTTCTGTTACAATTTTGTGCCACCTAAGGTGATGTGAAACACTTACCTAGGACCTTGACTTTGGAGGGAAGCTAAATCTTGGATGATGAGATGGATTGTGCTGCTGCAACCCTGCAAAGGAATTGCCCATTGCAAACTCATTGTGAATATGAAACAGTTCATCACCTGCCTTACATGGGCCTTCCCTTTTAAGTCACAGGCATTGAGGACAGCGCATGTTGTTCCTGTTGTGACAAAGCATGTCATCTAATTCCATCAGGATAATGTTCTGGGGCAGTTACCTGAAGCATTGGGTGGGGTGAATCCCAAAGGTGGGATCCCTGAGCCCACCCCAGCATTAGTCAGGTCTTTCAGCCTCTGTGTGGAACAGGAGACGGGTATACAGCTGTAGTTAACTGCATCTAGAAGCCAAACTTGAACAAAGCTCAATCAAGGTTACTTGGTCCCACGGGGCATCCATGTAACTTACCTCCACTATGTGAAGAACACGGCTGGGGTAGAGAAGCAGCAGCCCTGAGACTGGTTCTCCTCCGTGGTCTTCTAGCACGTTTTCAAACACTTCTCTGTGATAACCTTGATTCAAAAGAGAGGATGGCGCTTTGTCAGATGGTTTATAGCCCTAGTTCATTGTGGTAGTGTTGGGTCTGTTCTGTGCTCTGCTGCCACAGACAGCAGATTCACAGATCATGCTTTTAGTGTTCGGGAGAGGCAGAATCCTAGGAACATGAAAGCATTGCTTCTGTGGGACCCTCTTCCTGACATAAGCACCACTGCAGTTCAGGTTAGCTCCTAAAACTGCGCCCAAACCTGCCCTGTGTCAGGAGCTGACGTCTAAAATGCCCATTAGCATCTGTTTGAAGATGTAGTTTCATCATCACTGGTGCAGCTGCATCACCTGGAGGCCCCAAACGCCGAGCACTGGGGGTGCCTGCTGGGTGCAGCTGAGTCCTTCCCTCTGCTCACGGGTACGGGTGTCTAAAATCGCCTTCCTGAGCTCTACCCAGGTAACAAACACGCTGGGCCCCAGCAGCTGCCCGAGGAGCTCGTACAAAGCCGGCTGCAAAGCAGCATCAGGCTTTATTTACGAAGTCTCCCCGGGTTTCTCAGAGCTGCGTTTCCTTTGCTTTAGGCGGGGTTCCCAAACGGCAACTCTCTTTATATGCCTTCAAAACCCGCTTTTCGCTTCTTTACGGGCTACCACCCGCTCCCGCTGCTCCGCGCTGCCGCGGGGTGACCGGC